GTACTGAGTTTAAATATTATGAAACTAGATGCAGCAGGGGGCAGTATTGGACCAATACAAGGCTCCATTGACTGCCATTATAATTTATTAAACATTAATATTTCAAAAACTATAAGTTTTACAGGCACCAAAAGGCATAGCCATTATTTGGCACAGGGGCTTTACAGATATAAAATACAATGGCAGCTCTAGGACAAAGTTTGCATGAGGAGAAGCATGGCAAAGTTGAGATGACTTGGATGGGAAACGAATCACAATAGTGTGCACTGATAAATAGAACTACTGTTTACTGTGTACTGAGATACTGAAAGAAAGATATTGTTAAGCGTGTTCGTTCACCAGTTTGTGTGCTTGAACCATACGGAGAATGTACCAATGCATGGAAAAAGAATAATAAAGAGATCATACGAAGCCAGAGCTGCTCTGTCTGAAGGCCCGTTGAATCATTTTTACTTAATCGGGAGGAATGTTAGTGTGTTTTCCACAGTGTGCTGTTACACTTAGGATAATTGCAGACACATAGTGCCTTACTGCGAACATACAGGATTTTTTGATTATAAATGTCCTTAGTGTTCACATGACAGTCATGTGAAAAGGGAGAATTGAAGAAATTTATTGGGGTTAGGTTATATACTGATTTTAATTACATTACACAGGGTATAGTCTTAATGATTAGAAGTGTAATAATTGTTAAATGCGACTGTTTTACATAAATTGATGATTTTATATAGGTAGATACATGCCTCAACTCAAATTCAACACATAACTAAATGTTGATCGTCACTAGAGTAGATTAGTATTTCTGTCTGGAGGCATGACTCTCAGAGCCCCCTTCCTGATGATGTAATGAAATGGGCGGGGTCACGCCTCGAAGCGCTCTGTTATATGAAACTGTCTTCTGCATTTTGGGCTCTGAATGCTTCATCAATAAACAGGCCTTCAGACAGAGCAGCTCTGGTTTCGTATGATCTCTTTCTTATTCTTTTTCCATGCATTGGTACATTCTCTGTATGTCTCAAGCACACAAACTGATGAACGAACACGCTTAAAAATATCTTTCTTTCAGTACACGCTGAATGTTATGCTGATGCAGATATGTACTGTATATTAGTGGTTGATAGATTATTTCTTTGTTTTAACAATACTGTTGGAACGCCTGTTAATTTCACTTTTAAATGGTGCCACATTTGTAAGGAACATGCATTTGTGGGATGAGCAGTAGAGCTGATTGGGTCTTCTTTGACAAGTAGCCTACTTTGCTGTTATTAACTCTTGTTTTAAAGCTTCTGGTGCCTCCAGGTGCTGCCAATCATAAAACTTATTGCCAATTAACATTGTTACAACAAAGAAATAATCTATCAAACAAATGTACTTACTTTTTGTGCTAAAGTATATTTGTAAATGTGATGTGTGAAAAATAAACAATATTTCTGATGTACTATATTTTTCATGAAATTCTATTTTCATGGTACAAATGAATTTTTGGTTTGTGTCTGCTGCTGTGACAAAGTATTTGCTTCGCTCAAGGAAAAAATCAAATGAAATACACTCATTTCTATATTTGCTCAGAAACTTTGCCTTAAATCCATCCTGGTTTTTTAAATTAAATTATGCACAGTAAAAAAACAGAAATCATATGCTTTTTTTAGTCATGAAAATATATTCAGATATCGTATTTGGATGATTAAATGAACACATTTCTCTGCTCTAAAATGAAGCTGTACAAACTGATGTTAGAAAATAAAATTATTGGATCCATACTAGTGATGCTGCTCCTGTTTTATTATTAAATTCATAACAATTTAAAAGTTAAATTTTGATTTTGATAAAAAAAAATAGTTAGATGATTCTTCTCCTGTTTGAACTTGTGAAGCTGAGTTTAGTTGAGCTCTGTCAGACAGTTAATATATTAAAGTATTCAAATTGGAATGAAATAAACCAATAAACTAAAATAAATAAAGCTGGAGCAGAAACTCACCGCGATGACCAGCCCGATGCTCTCAGAGAGAGTTGCACAGAAGATGAGTGACACGCACAAAACCCCGAAGCACCTCTGCATCTGAAAGAGACAGAAAACATGAACAGAACCGGACCCTGCCAGAACGGGACCCCCTGCTCCCCCTACCAGCCCAACAACGCCCCACCTTGGATCAGACGGTCTGAGGGGGATCTGCAGAACCTGCCTTGGAGGGAGTCGCTGAGTTCTGGTTTGGATGTAACGAGGACTACGTCCACCTTTTATCATCACTTCAGCTGCTGGCGTCAGCAGCCCCCCACCCAACACACACACACACACACACACACACACACACACACACACACACACACACACACACACACACA